TCACAGACCAGACTTGCCTTAAACTCAGAGATCCACCTGCCTCTTTTTCAAGTGTGCGCCGCCACACCTGCAGATTATCTGTTTCCTCAGTGCTCCCTCTAACTAGGGACCTAACCATGAACACCTGAGGGCATGGGTCCTCTACTGAGCAAGCCAGACAGGGTCCTGCCTGTATGAACCATCCCAGCACTAGAAAGAGACAGCCACCTAAGAACACATACAGTCACGTCACTGGGACGGTGCTCTGAAGGACAGGGCAGGGCCTGTGCCCAATCTGCGTTTCAGTGTCCTGGCTAGCTCTGGAAGTGGGAGGAGGAAGATCTGAGCAGCGGCTGAGAGGATGGGGTCAGAGTAGCTGGCACCAAGAGCCCAGACCACGGCTACGGCTAATGAGCCCAGGTGGTACTGAATACCAAGCAAGCGCAGAGCCTGGGGGAAGGGAAGTCTCAACAAATGCCCATGGCAGAAGCCACAAAGGCCTTGAGGGATGTGAGTCTCATGAGGCTGAGCGGGAGCTCACCATCCCCAGAACACTCGGAATCCCTCCGGGCCACAGCAGAGCCTCGAGGCTGGCTGGGAGAGAGCCACCTTTTCCATTGTCTGCAGTGCTGAGGACAGACCCCAGGAGCTACCCTGCTCTAGCTGGGCTGCGAACGTGGAAGGGTCACCAAAGGCCTCCAGAGGACAAGCTGGGTGAATGTAGCCGCCCGTGTCCACCTCCTCGAGGAGCTGAGCCTGCAGCTGTGGAGAAGGGGGTGTCCGGGGTGAGCTGAGGAGGACGGAGCTGCCCTTGTCTAGTAGCAAAGCTGGAGGGCTCTGCACTCTCAGGGCAGGTTCCAGCCATCTGGAATTCTGGCACCTGGGGACTCTGATATTGTTAGACCACCAGAGAACCCCGTGTCTCTTTTCTTACAGGCTCTCTAGAACACGCAGAGGGAAGGGCGGTGGGAGAAAAGAGCGAGAAAAACAACAGCAGCCCAGGCAGCCGCCCTCGCTGGCTGTACCACCTCCATGCTGGGTGCTTCCAGACGGATACCCAGCTCCTTCCAGAATTTAGTTCCTACAGTGTCTTATTTAACCAGCCAGACATCACAGCCCCGTACCCTGTACCAATAGAGAGCTATTCATTTGCATAACAATTTGTCTCTGACCCTCCCCCCAGCTGCCAGCTCGGGAGGACTGGCGGCTTGCACTCACGCCCACATCCTTGGTGCCTACTAGTGCCTGGCATTTAGGCCGAACAAAGGTCTGCTGTTGCCAGGATTACCTCACGATGGTACTCTGAGGTAGAAACTGCTACTCATTGGCTGATGAAGATACTAAGGCCCACAACTAACACAAAAGTAGCCTGAGATAGCAACTGACTTTAGGTAGGGATGTAAATCTAAACTCATCACTCACATCTTTCATTCACCCAACCATCCAGCTAGAGAAATAATGACCAATGTTCATAGGAAGGAACAAGGGGTCCCAGCAACATCCTGACACCCAGAGGACACAGTCTGGGGAGCCAGAGGATCTGACCCTTGGAGCAGTGCCCACCCTGTGAATGAGCTCCCCAAATAAATGCCCTATTTCCAGGGCATTTGCTTCCTAGAAGGGAGTGGGCACTGGGCTAGAGATCAGGGACAGAAAGCTGCTGTGAAGACAGTGCAGACAAGTTTGAGGGGGTGGGAGGGTGAGAGTGGTGCACTGAGGACTAAGTCTGCAGGGCACTATGCTGGGAAGACAGGGAGGGAGGAAGGCACATCCCCGCTAGGTTGCTGGTATCTCTCGTGATAAAGAAACAATGAACAAACTGTGCGTGGTGGGGCATTGGGGCAAGCCGAGGACCACACCACTTGGGTTCTGTTTGTGCAATCAAACTCACTAATGCCTATACTGCTCCCCTCATCCTCACAGGAGGCGGGGTCCTACCTCCAGCCTGCAGGTGTGGCAGCGGAGGCTGTGCGCCAAGCGTCTGCACAGCAGCTCTCCACTCATCAGGTCAAGACAGAGTTGCAGGCTCTCCAGCTATGCTCTGAATGGTGCCACCCACGCTGTCCTATGCAAGCCTCACTTTCCCTTTCCCTTCTGTGCTACCACTATCTCCTCACAGCTCCGTGATTCCTGGCACACTGACTACAGATGGTCTGGTTTTGTGGTTGTGATTCCAGGAGGACCATGGACCAACGGTAGCAGCTTCCTAAAAGCAGGGACCCTTATAAGTCACAGGACCCCCACTATACAATAAATGAATGACAGGATAGCTGGGACCCAGTCTGTCTTGACATCTCTGGGATTACACGTGCATGTCACCACATGTGTAATCCTTTTTTTTTTTTTTTTTTTGAGACACGGGCTCTTTGTGTAACAGCCTTAGCTGTCCTGGAACTCACTCTGTAGACCAGGCTGGCCTCGAACTTACAGAGATCCTCCTGCCTCTGCCTCCTGAGTGCTAGGATTAAAGGCCACCATACTGGTTTTTTATGTGGGTGCTGAGGATCGAACTCATGTCCTCATGCTTGTAAGGTTTTACTGTTTGAGCCATATCCCTAGCTTTTTGCTCATTTCTGAAGCCAGGAAACCAGCACCAGTGAATGAACCAGATTTGAAGTCGGTCGACAAAGCTGACTCTACACTACAGGGGTCTCTGAACTCACATTTTTCGAGTCAAGAATTGCAGAAGCACTGAGGCTAACCAAAACCACTGAAAGCAGAGGTCAATGAGATGGCTCAGCAGTTAAATGGTGTCTCATTCATCTTCCCACACTCTCCAGAGTCAGCAGGGGCAAGAGGACACCATCCTTTCTCAGTGTAAAAGTGGGAAGAACGAGGTCCAGAGGGAAGAAAGGATTCAAGCAAGTATATACAATAAGTGGTTAGAGAACTATGCTAGGCCTTGGTTTACCAGGTTGCTAGTTTGGGGTTCTGGTCTTAGAAGCTTTCTGTCATTTAAACTCTAGTCTTCTAAGTGTACTAACTCTACACGTTTATGTTTTATTTTTGCAATGCTTGGAATGGACCCCAGTGGTTTATGAATGCTAGGCAAGTATTCTATCACATCCTCTGTCCCCTGCCCTTGCATTTTCAAACCCTTGGCCCTGCTCAGCCTATGACCCAGGCCTGATGATTGCTCAGGCTCAAGGGGTGAGGAGGAAAAGTCTGGGCTGTTCTCCTCAAAGGCTGCAAATTGTCAGCCTGCGCCAGGTACCTCCAGGATCCGCAACCTCTGCCTGAAACCTGACCACACACTCAATGCCACTGCAAATCATCAGATAGCACTATCAATTTGTCTGTTAATATGACAGCAGGGGGGGTTTGGGGCTTGATTTTAAAAGTCCTCATTGAGTCAGGCATGGTGTAACATATAATCCCAGGACTCGGGGCAGTGGCAGATGAATCTCTGTGAGTTCAAGACCAGCCTGGTCTACATAGTGAGTTTGAGGCCAGCCTAGTCGACATGCAACTGCCTCAAAATAAACAAACAAATAAAAAGGCAAGTACCACCAGCTGGAGTTGATGACCCGTGTCTGCAATCCCAGCTCTTGGGAGGCTAAGGAGGACTGCTAGGGTCAGCCTAGCTTCAGAATGGGATCTTGTCTTAAAAAAACCACACACACACACACACACACACAAACCAACAACAAAAACAAACCAAGGCCCCTAGATGACACACCATTACTTTTATCAGCGAGGGGTGCCTCCTCCAGGATCCCTACAAAGTCTATGAGCTGGGGACCCAGGCAGAGCGGGTTATAGGGCTGTAGTAGACAGACCCTTACTGTCATATGCCCCGCCCACACTGCCACACATGCAATCCTATTCTACTGATGGAAAGATATTCTAACAACCAGGAAACAGTAGTGTGACATGACTTGCCTACAGTGCTGTCTTTTTTGTTTTTCGAGACAGGGTTTCTCTTTATTGCTTTGGAAGCTGTCCTGGGAGTCACTCTGTAAACCAGGCTGGCCTCGAACTCACAGAGATCCTCCTGCCTCCGCCTCCCGAGTGCTGGGATTAAAGGCTTGCGCCATCAAAGCCTGGCCCGTGCTGTCTTTTTAAAGATTTCTGTCACTGATGGTCAGTACAGAAAGCAAAAGGGCACTCAGAACACAAGGCCAAAGTACAACGGTCATTTGTCACCTCGACATATTTGCATTTTCTCCAACATTTCAACAACCACAAGTCAACCCTGCATCACACGGCTGCCTCTAACCGGCTCCCTGTTGTTTTCTGCACTCAGCTGACTTCCTTGCTGTCCACTCTGCCTCCTTCACTCGGACCCACGCAGGTTCTCTTTGAACGGGCTGTTGAATGCTGTGCCCACAGATAGCATAAGGACTTCTTCCTCAGGCATCTCTGCTCACACAGCCACCTTCTTGGACACCTCTCCTGACCACTTTCTGCATGCGGCTCTAGAGTCTGTCCCCCACGGCCCCTCCTGCCTCCCCTTTGTCCACGACACCTATTACTCTTTTACATGCTGTGCGCTCATTTGTCAGATAAGCCAAGGGACAACGACCCTTCCGTCTGATGGCCACCTCTTAGCTTCCTGCAATCGTTTTCAATGCCATCTCCCATGGTCACGCTAACTCGACACCTAAAGAAGCATCCTGTCAGAAAAATCATCGAGTCAGCTTTCACAGGCTTTAGGTGGCACTCCCCCCCCCCCGCCCCCCTTAATAATCTCTTACAAGGCACAAGCAAACACGGGGAATCTCTGACTCTGGTTAAAGAGCAGACAAATCAAGTTCCACCCAGAGCTGGCCAGACCAGAGTTTCATTTTCTCCTCACCTATGGGCGCCCTTGGTCTTCAGCTAACAAGCCCACTCGCCCTTTTCCGACCCTGTTGCACCCGCTTGCGCCTTGCCATCCCATTTTTGGGAGCTGATCCAGGAACCAAGCCATCCCTAAGCTTTTAAGTAGCACGGCTTGGGGGTTGGAAGGAGACCTAAGCTCATCCAACAGGTAGGAGGGGCAAAGGCAGGCCTTCTAAGCCCTACATCGATTTCCCCACCTGGCACGAAAAAGCGTCGTTCTCCTTGTGGAGAGAGCTCAATTTTCAAGGCAGCTTCCTCAGACCTGGGCCGGAGGCGACGAGGGCCCTCCCACCCCTGGCCGAAGTGGGCCTGCAAGGAGTCGCTGGGGCAACGCTTAGACCTGAGGGGGGAGGGGAGAGAAGGATGCAGACACGTCTGTCTCTAGACTCGCAACTAGGACGTTCCCCGGGAGGGGGCGGCCCTCGTCGGGGAGACGGGATGCTTTGCACACTTACAAACCGAGGCTGCGGCCCTGGGGAATCCGCTACCAGAGCGCCACAGGAGGTCGGGTCCGGGTCCGAGTCGGCGGGGCGGAGCAGGGAGGGAATGCAGCGGCCAGAGGCCCGGACACAGGCCGTTCCCTTGCCCTCGGGCCGCTGAGGGCCGCCGGCTGCTGGCTGCAGGCCCAGCCCCTCCCCCCTCCTGCTCCGACCGCTTGGAGAGCCTGTGGCTGCTGGTGTGCTGTCAACAAAGCGTCACTTCCGGGCCGCCCCTTAGCAACAGAGGAGGGGTTCCGCGGTCGTGTCCCGCCGCGAAAGCAGGCGGCGGCCGAAGGTTCCGGGCCTTGCGGGCTGCTCCTACAGTGCTGGGGCCTGCGTCCCCCAAGTTAGCCTTCAGGGTCCCTTCCAGCGAAGGGCTGGCTCACAGGAGCAGGGCTGAGGACAGGACTGACTCCACCTTCCCTCGTCAGCGCTGACTCACCGGCGCCCAATCCGAGGTTTTTTTGGGCTCTCTCCACGCAGCCACCGCTTTGTCCCTCAACTGTGCTCCTCCCTCTCCTTCAAGAGAAGGGCCTCTCGCCCAGGAGCTGTCAGATAGCAAGCCTGAGGCTGTCCTTGGCCCCTGCGTTTCCTTCTAGTCACCAATAATCTCTCAACAATTGCTTTTCTCTTCCTCCAATAGTGCCCTACTTCCGTCCATCACCATTTTAAGTTTCAAATTTTTTATTATTTTTAATTTGTGTATATGGGTGAGGGGGGTATATGCATGAGACTGCAGCTCCAGTGGAGGCTAGAAGCCTCCATCTAGTGGAGCTGAGGTTACAGATGGCCTTAAATCCTCCAGCGTAGGTGCTGGGAAGCCAACTGTTTCTCCTACCTATCCTTCCTTCTGTTCTAAGATAATTTTTTTTTTTTTTTTTTTTTTTTTTTACGAGACAGGGTTTCTCTGTATTGTTCTGGAGGCTATCAGTCCAGCCCGGCCTCGAACTCAAAGAGATCCGCCTGCCTCTGCCTTCCGAGTGCTGGGATTAAAGGCGTGCGCCACCACCGCCCAGCTTCTAAGATAAATTTTTAAAAAATTATTTACATGTGTGCACACATAGCGGGCCAGAGGACTGTCTGCTAGAGATGGTGTTCCACATCCACCATGTGGGTTCCAGGGATCGAACTCTGGTCCTCAAGCTTGGTGCCAAGCACCCCTACTGCTGAGTCATCTGACTGGCTCCCATCACCATTTCTTCTCCTAACTTCTACCATGGCCTCCTCACTCCCTCTGCAGCCCCACAATCCAGGAATGGGCTTTCCAGAACATAAATCTCATCAGGGGATCCAGACTCTCTTGATCTCTCCTTACCCAGTCAATTGCTTCCTTGGGCTTTCCTGTCCAGACAGCTCACAGCTTAAATCAGTTTTGGCTCTTTTCATCTCTGTGTCTCCCTAGGCTCAAACAAATGATTAAACATTTTTCTTACTGCCATCTACATCTGGTGTACTGGCCTCTGTTGCAATAATTTTGGCTTGAGGAACTCTGGGGGAGGGGGTGGGGAGGAAGGAGGGAGGGGATGCTAGGTCACAAATCAGAGCCTGAGTAATACAGAGAATCCACCACTGACCTATGGGCTCTCTTGTCAAAATACAAGGAAGGATGCATATGCTTGGCGGCCGTAGCACACACCTTTGATCCCAGCACTTGAGGCATAAACAATAGGAGGCTAGCCTGGTCTATAAATCAAGTTTCCCAGGACACCCAGAGCTGTTACAGAGAAATCCTTTCAGGGCTATATATCGAAACTCTATCTAAATAAATAAATACGTTTTGTAATTTTTGTAGGTCAGGCATAGTGCCACACGCCTTTAATCCTAGCACTCCTGAAGCAGAAGGAGGCAGATCTCTATAGACATCGAGACCAGCATGTTCCAGGATTGTCCTGTATCATGTTGAGACATAGAAAGAGAGAGAGAGACAGACAGACAGAGACAGAGACAGAGAGAGACAGGAGAGAGACAGAGAGACAGAGAAAGATGGGGAGAGACAGAGGGGGAGAGAGAGAGACAGACAGAGAGGAAAGAGACAGAGAGACAGACAGAGAGGAGAGAGACAGAGAGACAGACAGAGGAAGATGGGGAGAGAGACAAAGACAGACAGAGAGAGAGAGAGAGAGAGAGAGAGAGAGAGAGAGAGAGAGAGAGAGAGAGAGAGAGAGAGAGAGAACTAGCTGGCTGTCTCCTCAGATGCCAGAAGCTGACATTGGATAAGTTCATCAATCACCCTATTTTGGAGACAGGTTTGCCACAACTCCAGACTTTCACATAGGTGCTAGGGACCCTAACTTACGTCTTCACGCTTGCTTGCACCTCACTCAGTGAGCTACCTCTCTCACCAGCTATGTTAAGCCTAGCTTGGCCCTGGAAACCTAACTGGGGTGGCAAGGGAATGAAGAAAGGAAAACCACTCAGAAAAGCTAGGACTGCGTGGGCTGTACTCACTGTGACGAGCAGCAACCATGCACAAAACCCTGGAATCTCGGCTCTTCTATCCTGTACAGCACAAGGGAAGGGACTAGCTGGTCTGGTAGGAGATCTCTGTAGGCCAACACTGTCAAATTTTAGTCATCCCGGAGGATCCAAATCACTCAGATTTGCTACTAATTATAAATGCTTCACTGACAGCCCAGACTTGTTACTAGCTAGCGCTTACATTTTAAATTAGCCCCTATTTTTTGTCCACACTCTGCCAAGTGGTGGCACCTTATTCCGACATGGCACATTCATCTTGTTTTTCTCTGCATCTGAACATCACTCCTGAGACTCTGCCCTCCTTCCTCCCATCTTCTCAAGTTTGGCTCTCATGCCTAACCTCTACCTGTCCAGCTACTGACCAGTCAGCTCTTTATTAAGCAATGAGAGTAATACATATTTACAAAGTACGAAGTTTGTTCCACAGAAGTCCAGTTTTTGCACACACTGCCAAAATATCCAAATGGACTGGAGGAAGGCCAATTCTGAGCCTGATCTATACTGGAAAGGATCTACTCTTCCCATAGTCTGAGGTACTGGGTCCTGGACATGACTCTTGCCATGTCAACAATACACAGTCATTCAGGGCTTCTTCAATTACCCACAACAGTCCAAAAAGAAAAGAAAAAGTAATGTAAAACTTTACTTTGTGCTGGGCAGTGGTATCACATGTCTTTGATTCCAGCACTTGAGAGGCAGAGGCAGGTGGATCTCAGTGAGTTCCAGGCCAGCCTGGTCTACAAATAGAATTCCAGGACAGCTAGGACTGTTACACAGAGAAATCCTGTCTTGAAAAACCTAAAAAAAAAATCCCACTGTGGAGATCGGAGAATAACTTTCAGGTGTGAATTCTCTCCTTCCTCTTTGGAATCCATAGAAGAACCCAGGTTGTCAGGTTTTGGCAGCAACTGGTTTTACCTACCCAACCATCTCCCCCACGGAGAATGAAAATAAGGAAACCTTTAAGAATAAAGTTAGCAGCTGGAGAGATGGCTCAACAGTTAAAAGTACCTGTTGTTCTTACTGAGGACCAGGGTTGGTTCGGCTCCCATCACCCACCTTGCAGCTCACGACGATATGTAAGTCCAGTTCCAAGGGATCAAAGCCCTCTTCTGACTTCCTTGGCACCAGGCATGTATTGATGCACATACATGAAGGCAAAACAATCATACAAATAAATAAATAATGCCGGGCATTGGTGGCGCACGCCTTTAATCCCAGCACTCGGGAGGCAGAGGCAGGCGGATCTCTGTGAGTTCGAGACCAGCCTGGACTACCAAGTGAGTTCCAGGACAGCCTCCAAAGCCACAGAGAAACCCTGTCTCGAAAAACCAAAATAAATAAATAAATAAATAAATAAATAAATAAACCCATCAGACATTGTGGGGGTGTGCTTGTGCTATGAGAACATGAGAGACATGAGTATTAGGAATTCAAGTTATCCTTGGCTTTATAGTGTGAAGTCTCCTGAGCTACAGGTGACCCTGTCTCAAAACAACCAAGAAAAGAAAGAAGGAAGGGAGGGAGCAAAGGAAAGAGTCACCTTAAGGTGCGCAGTGGTGACGCACACTTTTAATCCCAGCACTTGGGAGGCAGAGGCAGGCATATCTTTGAGTGTAAGGCCAGTTCGGTCTACAGAGTGAGTTCCAGGACAGCCAAAGCTATACAGTGAAACCCTTGCCTTTAAAAACAAGAGAGAGAAAAGATTAACCTCAATATTCATATGGATTATCAAGGGTCACAGAAACAAACGAACAAACAAACAAAGTTGGTGGATACACATGCAAATCAAAACCACAATGAGAACAGGAAAACAAGAAGAGACTGCTGAGCAGTTAAGAGCCCTGGCTGCTCTTCCAGAGGACCTGGCTTCAATTCCCAGCACCCACATGGCAGCTCACAGCTGCCTGTAACTCTAGTTCCAAAGGATCCAACACTGCCTTCTGGTCTCTTTGGACACCGCACACATGTGGTACACAGACATAAATGTAGACAAAACAACCACGTACATAAACAAACAAAACACCCACAGTGAGACACCATTTTTCTCTTACAAGAATGAACGTTATTTCTTTTTAACAAGTGATAAGTGTTGACCACAGAGTGGAGTGATTGGACTCAGCTATTACTGTGGAACCCAAGAGGGCACAGCTGTGATGGGATGCTGTGTTTCTCATCACACAGAATTAACACATGATTCAGCCATTCTCCTTCTGAAAGCCTGGACAAATCCCTGTATGATGCCATTTATTGCAATAGCCAGAAGGCAGACATGCTTGTCCTTCCTGGTGTGGTTGTTTCCTAGATAGGCTTCTGGAAGCCCCTATTGACGCCTGCATTGTCAGTAGCCAGGGTCTTCTAGCTTGCACCTCAGTCCCTGCCACACATACAGGGGACCATCACTCAGACACAAAACAGCGACATTCTTTTACATGCTGTAACAAGTAGGCGCTTCCAAGTAATTATGCCATGCAACATAAGTCAGTAACACAAGCAGAAGACCACAGCACGATTCCACTTGAACAGGGATGCAAGAATACCACAGCTTCAGAAGGTGGAGAGATGGCTCAGTGGTCAAGACTATGTATTACTCTTCCAGAGGACGCACTTTCAATTCCCAGAACCCACATAGGTTGCTTCACAACATTATCTATATCTCAAGTTCCAGGGGTCCAGTGCCGCCTCTGTTCCCCAACGGCACCTGCATCCATGTGCACAACACACACACACACACACACACACACACACACGCTAAAATAATAATCAAAACTGAAAAAGAAGAACACAGGCTGACAGAACATGAAAACAGCACGGATATTACCAGAACCTGTGGCAGATAGGGAATGGGGATTCTTGTGTAAAGCATTATGGAGTGTCTACTTAAGGTGATAAAGA